CTTTTCTTTACTCATGTTTGACGAGTTCTTGTGTTTTCCAGTTCTGGATGAAATGGATCATCTATGTGTTTATGATCAGTCATGATGGAGGTCAGTGATGGTGGTTCATAATATCGGTTCAGACGGATTTGGGTCAGTTCAGTTCTGAAAACTAAAACCCTTGGTGGTTTTAAGGCTCCTGCATACTCTGAAGATCTATTGTACGTTCAGCAAAATGTGCTTTATAATATTGTCAGTCATTTTATGAAACCATGTTACTGCAGGGATTTGATCCATTTACAGCAGCTGCTGTTTGAATGGATGAAGCTGCAAATCCTGGAGGTTGGTGAGAACATTTTAATCCCCTTATATGAATTCCTCAGGGAGGGAGATTACAGGTGACACTTTGATGAGAAAATCCCTTATTTGCACATTTTGCTCTCAGCTCAGCTCTAATTAACGGACTTCTAATGCCATCAACATGTTGTGATTGAAATCTAGGATGTGAAAGGTTTTAATTAAATGCCAAAGAGAGAGAAAGGTGTAAAGTAGGAGGAACTCCACTTTACCTGTAGGTTATTTAGGAATGCTCTTCTTCATTTCTTTATATACTGCAGCTACCGGAAACTTCAGTTTCTCTTCTTACAAACTGTGCCACGTCTTCATCTTTTATTTAAAGTTTCCTCATATTTGCTGCTTTTAACAAAAATAGTTCAAGTCCAGCGTTTCTGTGAGTAGTATTATGATGTGAGCAGTTTGGTTTGAAATACTAGAGGATTTAAATTAGCAGCTGTTTCTTCAGTGGTTGCAACAGGATGTTGAGGAGTAGTTCAGTGGAATCAAAAATATATGTTTGATGAAATACATTAAGGATTATTTTTGGGTTTAACATGCCGGCGTTGATTTTGGGCTAGACTGACCCTCAGCCTCATCATATCAAGTTTATAGAGGTGACTCTTTGCTCATTAGAAAGTCACTGAAGGCAAAATTTATTCAGGATGTTCCAAAAAACAAAACAAAACCAAAAAACTAATTAAGTTCAGTTGTGATGTTTGCATAAAGAACTGTTTTCCTGCCGCATTCATCCGTGCAGCTCAGACATCTTTTTTCACTAATGTTATTCTACAAGTATCACCTCCTTTTTAGTCACACATTTTTTAATTTGCCCCCGACTTTCCGATATACTAGACATAAAACCTTGGCCAAATTGAGTTTCTGGTATTAAAAATCGTTTTATGCTTTGTTGATTTACATTTGTGGATCTTTCACCGATTAATTTTTTGTAGTTCAATCATTAAGCCCTTCACACAGATTGTTTCAAATGTACCTTAAACCCTTTGTTTTACACAGACAGCCAAGATAACATGTGCATTCCCCCAGTGCCAGTTACTACATTCAGTGTGGACCTAGGAAGCCTTTGGCAGGCTCTAGTTTTCGTTACAACTGGTTCCTGTATGTTATTATTGACTGTTATAAATGTGTTTAAAATCTTGTAATATACCTATATTTCTATCTATTTTTTAACTAAATAAAAGTTTAGACATTTTTATTTGGCGACAACTTAAAAGCAAAAAAACAAAAATATATTTAGACATGTATATAAATTTGGCAGCCAATAGGTTAAACTATGTTCTGTGTATTTATGAAGGCCCACATGCAAAAACCCCCAACCCAAAATAAAATAGAATATGCAGATTGCTGAAGTACAATAGCAAATTACTTTGCACCTTTTTTGAAGATTTGCTCTGCCTTCCTACGTTAAAAAAAATGCACCAAACCTTCTGGACATCAGGCCTTGGGCTTTTCCTCCTTTTTAAAAGTAGACAGGGAGTTGCTTACTCGGCCATTTCATTGTTACTCATTGCATGCATACACAGGATTGCACCACAGACCATGTAGTCTTGAAATGGTAAATACTCAAACGATGAAGTTTAATAACAAATTGAACAAAAATAAAAGAGTAAAACATAGAAATTGTATTAGTAAGCCAACAAGATGGCAAAGAATTAATCTAAAAGTCTTTTTATGTGACCAGAACTTACTTACCCCAGTAGCTGTAAGGCTGAATCAAACTAGCATAAAAGGTGTGTCATATTTTTTAACCATTTTATTGCAGATTTTCTGTGGTCTGATCCCACGGAGAACCTGCAGCACCCGGACCAGAACATAAGTCTGAAACTAATCTAGATTGTTTTGTTTAACTGTGTGGAACATTGGAGTGTTAATGATAAAATGCTCTCAGCATGAATCAGAGTCCAGCTGAGGCAGAAAATTAAACCCGGTGCTGCGCTCAGGTCCAAACCTTCCACCTAAACAAGATGACATAACATTAAAATGAATCTCCCTCTGGGACATGAATAAAGATCTGAACCTAAACGAGCGGCTTCCAGCAGGAAATGAGTGGCTTCGTCCTGCAGCAGCTAACAGCCATAGAAACTCAATAGATGCTTCTGAACCAGAGGCCAGATTGAGGCTTTAAGCCAGAGAGCAGGACAAATAAGGCCGACCTAAACAGAAGACTTCCTCTGAACGTCTCCACAGATCCGATTTGTGGCTGCAGCACATTAGGATAATTGAGCCCCACATATCAGGACAGAAAGCCCCTCAGGGAACAGCTTTCCCTTTTTCTCCAACTCTGTTAACAGGCAGTTCAAACAAAGGTTACTCTACTGATTACTCCTCTGAGCCTCCGGTTTAAATTACGTTCCAGGATCTCTTTACATGTTCCACAGCTCATTCATTCCTGGTTCCACTGTCACACAGGAACCTACAGCTGCTGTAATGACTCCCTCTGTAACGTGGAGAGCCACGCAGTGTGAAATACACAGCCAGGAGTTATGAGGACGGAGGGTTGGAGCAATAATGATAGACCTAATCTGGAGCAGTGCGGGCTGTTAAGGTGAATTATTTAGTGTGACAGAGCAAAGACTCAGTTCTGAATTCGGATGATGTGTAGAATCATCCAGCAACTGACATAATGAAAGGCTGACATGTGGGGAGATACAAGGAGACTAACTGAGACAAAATAAGATATAAAACAATGATGTGATGAATGGATGGAAACATCCAGTAGCTTTTGCTTGATTAAATTGCAATACTGATGTGACATATCTAATAATTAACTCATGTCTTAAAGCTCCTATATCATGGTAAATCAAATTTTTAATGCACAAAGTGATATTTTGTTTGATTATTCTCAAGAAATCATTATGAGTTTTGCTGTCTGTGCAACAGTCCCACCCTCACCTGTGAAAATGAGGCATTGGAGAGTATCTAGGTAGAGCAAGGCTCCCTCCGGGAAACACCTACCACTTTGCAGGCTATGCAAATAAATGCCTGCTTCTCCCATCAGGGAGGAGCGATATGAGGTATAGTGCAATGTTTCTGGCTCAGATTTAAGACCAAGTGGCGTGTTTTTTTGGTCCTAATCTGCACAGGGTAGCAGCTTTTCTTTTTAAGCTCATGTCTAAGTCTTGGATATCTGCTTTTTTTGGTCTCTGGTTTTGTTCTTGGTACAGCATTCAGAAGTTGTATGATATGGCGATGTCATGAAATAGGTGACGGATGCTTTACTAAGACAAACGCTTATCTTTGGGGTTAGAAGAAAACAGTTATATTGTAAAGCAAATATATACAAATGTTGTTCGAAAGGCAAAATGTTGTCATATATTTGCCTATAGGTACATTTGAAAGGCTTAAAAAACATGATATACACTGGAAAAATGTATGCAACCCTTTTTGAGTTGTTACACAGTTGTTTCATTAAACAATTATGTTAAAGTAACTAAATATAATTAATTAGATGCCAAAAATGGTTGCAATTTTTTTTTTCTGTGAACCTTTAACTATCTATAGTTATTGCTAATCTAATTGTCTAATTCCTAACCTGTTGCGACATAGACTAACTTCACCATCTTTAGTAAATATTATGGGCCAGATCTTCAAAAGAAGATAAAAAGGGATTTTAACATGAAATTCAAGAATCAGTGCATGTAAACTGCATGTCTGCCTTCACCAATGGAGATCACATTCTAGTTCGAATGACCAAATTGTATGGGTTGGGGATATGCGAATGTAAACACATTCAACACAGTATTTTTTTCTTTTACTACGAGGCTACATTGCTTTGCAGAACATCGGCACAAGCAATTGTTTAAAAGGAATTGTTGGAGGTAAATCTGCTGTAAATCTAACCAAGGCTTGTTCCCTGTCAGGGATGGGGGGTGTTAGTGGGTGGGTGGTTGCGTGGGGCGGGGGTTCGTCAAACAACACACAAAGACAGCTTCCCATGTATTGTGTTATTTTATTTAACAATGTTATTTTCATAATTTTATGTTTTTTATTTCGTTTATAGTGCTTTGAGATGCTAATAGTATCTGAACTACATTATACATAATAGTTAGTAGTGTCATTGTTAGTATTTTAAAACAAATTAACCACCATTATTTCCTCCAACTACATGGCTGAGGACCTCATCTTCCTTTCACGGCCACTCTCTGCCTGTGGAACAAACACCCAATGTTGTACATGTATAGCCATACTCCTGTTGTCCTCTTTATCATCAATCTTCCATGGGACTACAGATGACCATTGACACTAAATCTGGCATACTGACATTTCTGTACTTGTGCATTTAAACTTTGCAGCAGTTTAAGTCATTTTGTGAGGTGTTTATGTTAGGTCCTTTAAGATAAAGGTGCAGCTGATCTGGGCTGTAGAAGGTGAGTTTGGTCCAAACCAGAAGTAGGCCTTACCTGTCAGAACTTTCTAGCAGCAGGAGGATTATAGAGAAATCCAGTTGAATGATCCAGAACCACCATTAGTTCTCAGAGATCCCGCCGCTGCTTATTGGACACATTTTTAACACAAAGAAAATAGAACCATGATGCTTTTGTGTTGCTGAGGCTCAGAAAAGAATGGGTCAAACTAAAGTCTGTCTGTGTCCATATTGCCTCTCTGAGGAGTTTCTCAACATGTCGCTACATCAGTAGATGGAAGCATCTATTGGGACGGGGACTTACACTGAGCTGCAGGGTCTCTGTCCACTGTCCGATCACTCTGTACCCTGCTCCCGTCACGTTGTTCCACTGGTACTGGAATAGGTCATAGCGTCCTGGGGCATCGCCGTTTCTGTTGAACGTCACCGAGGTGCCGGCACTTCCTGTGGAGTAAAACATGGTCAACCATCGCATTCATCTATTTGCAGGGTTTTTGGTTTGCTCATCATCATCGTTTAAGTTTGAAGCAGATAGGAGCAGATGTTTCAGAGATGCAGTTCTTTACATGCAAACTTATTATTTCCTCTTTCAATGTTTTTTCCAAAAGGTCAGTGAAGCACAAAGGAATATTTAAAGCTTTCAAATTCAAACTCACAGTTAATATTCATACAAGGAGCATGTGGAACAGAACAATATTCGTGTTCTGAAAGGTTCTGAAATGATAGAACATTAAAGAGAACAGAGTTGGGGATGGATGGATGGATTTAGTTATTTCCTCTCAGAGGTTCAGACTGGTGAAGCTGCGATCAGTTCGCTCATCGCTTCAAGTGCCACTTTCTCTCCACATCAGCACTTCTCACTAATTACCTGATAAATGAGGCTCTGTGGGGCAAATTTCCTCAGCCACGTCTGCAATATCAGAACCGTTCAGAATAATATCAGGAAACTCTAACAGTTAATTATGAAAATTAATATAATAATATTTGCTTAATTAGTGAAATAGTCCAAGCACAAAGTGCCTGACAGTTAAAGGGACATGCAGCAGAAAGTTAGGCTCCACCAGTTAAGATACTCCTGATTATTCAGAGCATGTGGAGAAGAAAGCCTACAGGCTACCCAGAGTCCCTGTGGTCCCAGCAGTGAAGTGTCCCGATCTACCAATGGATTCCAGCTCTGCCAAACTCTGCTTCATGGCAGTTTCTGCCTAAAGCCACTGGCATTGGTAAGGACTGGAATCAGATTCTCCCACAGGAGCAAATTCTCCCAGCATCTGGGAACTATTTGATGATGCAGAAAGACTGATGCAAATCAAAGCACAAATGACTGAAGTCTGAGCAAAAATTCAGAATCACAGGTGTTACTGTCAGACAGCAAACAATGCTTAACGATGCACATGTGGAGCCTTTATTGAAACTTCAGGTGGGAATAGTTGCTTCTTTCTGCTGTTATTTTGTTTCTCTTTATGATCATTTGGGCATCTTTATGCTGCTGCTGCTGCTTCCCTCTGAGGTCTTTAAGTGACAACAACCGTTGAGCTTTAGGTTTGGAGATGGTCTCTTAAACACTGTTGTCACATTAAGCACTGGCTGAGTCCCTCCTAAATGATAACATCCTCCCTCCTGGTCTCCTCAGGAAGGTGTCTCCTCACTCTGAGGGTCTGCAGAAAAACTCACCTTCCACCGTTTCAGAATCAGGTAATAACGGCTCGCCGCTCTGCTGTCGTAATGGCAGATTTCATTAGCATTTTGGTCACACTGTGGAACATCTTTGGAGGCCAAGTGCTGGAATAAAGTGCCTCAGTCATATTTTTATTGCCTGATGAAATTCCTGCAGCAGTTTATGTTCCAGATCTGCTCAGACTGGAAACCAAGGGAAAGACATTTCAGAGCCTGGCAGAGTCGCTCACTGACTTAATGAGTGACTTTGGAGCATTTCTTTTTGCTTCAGGGTACTAAGTCTAATTATTGCCTTTTAAAGAGTAGTCATCATCTGAGCTTCCGAACCTGCTGACTGATGGGCTTTCAGAGTTCCTACATGCTGCTTTAATCTGGATCTGTTTGATTTCTCAGTCAGATTCAGCCTCATCTTTTCTCCTCTTTTGTTACTTTGTTTTAACCTCCCAGTCAACATGCATTTATCCTCCAGCAGGCACAGAGCTGGAGTGATCGAAGATTTCAAAATGAGGGTCACGTTTCGCTTCAGTGTATTTAACGATGAGGAGCAGTCTGGTGTTTTTCACTCTGACGTGTTGCAGCCTTGGAGTTCAGAGCACAGCGAGGCTCCGGCTTTATGGTCCGCAGAAGGACGACGTCATCAGTCCACTCACCGTTGAAGCTGACGCTGCGGATGTACTTGAGCAGTTTCTTCCCACCGGCCAACTCCATCTCCGGGCAGATTCCTGAAATGTCCGGACACAGGTCCCGCTGCATGTTGTGCAGCGCGTGGGCCATGGCGTACACGGCGTCGATCACAAACTGGACCTTTCCCTCCTGCTCGTACTTGGAGTCGATGCCGATCCGCTCCTGACCTGAAACAGAGACAGAGGATGATGACTCAGGAGATTCAAAGCAGGTGAGAAATAAAGTTTACAGTTTGAGCTCCCTCACTGGTGAGAGAGAAAACAATGGGATTGAAACGGTTAGAAGCTTCCAGTGACACCAGTTTAGGACACATTGATCCAGCTGAACTAGAACCAATTGTGTTTCCTTTGTGTTGCATCATTAAATCTGAATCTACCTTCACCTTAAAGCTATCTGGGTGGTTCTGACCTGTTTCTGCTGCTTTTCCATTGAGCTCCCATCATGAAGACAACTTTCACCTCAAGCATGTTAAATAAATGCAGGACGACGAGGCGCTTGGGATGAACTACACACAAAAAAGAAGCTTCCACCAAGTCAAGCGGTCCCTGTTTGATTTCTGTCAGTGTTTGGATGCAGAGTCATGAATAAATAAAAGAGAGGAAATAAATCAGGATTCATTCAGCTCACAGAGGATCTGTTCAGAGCGTCAGCACAGCTATCAGGGACATCCGACCTTCAAAAGATGTGCTTCAACTGCACGGGGGTCAGACAAAGGTCAATTAACCTTCTCACATCATGTCTGGCAACAGACAAAGTTCTGAAATGACAAAGTCTTTGGAATCCCAACCAGCTGAGCATTTGATGGTATAAGGGATGGATTGTTTAGTTCAGAGAAGTCAAGAACGACGGTTTGGACCAGGCCTGCCAGCCAGTAGTCCTACAGCCAACATCAGCAGGGGACGCTGCCCCTTTTAGACTGTGCCAGGTATGTGAGCGTGACAGAGCCAGTTGATGGTGGGTGTGCAGGCAGGATCAGCAGGAAGCAGTGCGATACAGAGACAGATCTCACAGAAACAGAAGATTCTGAGTCACAGCAACAAACTCTACAATTGCTTCCTGCTGCTGCAAAGCAACAAAGTGGAAAATTTACCTCATCAGGATTCCCCCCAGTCATCTACTGGGGATTAATGTTTTTGCTTGATGAAGATGGTAAACAAAATATATTACGGTAGGTAGTTTTAGGTTTAGCAAGAAAAAATAAATGTATCAAATATTTGAAATGAAGTCAGTATATAAACAACTAAAAGCATTACCAGATTCACCACAACGCACCTTGCTTCCATCCCCTAATTATGTAGTTGGCAGACCATGTTGATGGATGAAACTGGAGAAAGAAAAACGCCCACTGGTACCAGTGTGAGCAGTAGGAAAAGCAGAGGGCCAAGTATGTGAGGCAGTGCATGGCCCCTTATAGGGGTGTGTCTAGTGTTCATATAAACTAATTTATCTTCATTTTATGCTCTTTGTTCATTCTACGCCTTATCTGACAGGAGTCTCAGTGCCTTATTTAGACCAAAGTGTTAAAGTCAAGTTCAGCTTGAGAGTCGTCCTGTTAGAGGATGCGTGAAAGATATGCTGTGGTGTCTGACCACAAAGTGCGTCCCTTTAACAATGACATCGAACAAATTGGTTGGATTAAATTTTTTTACAGATAGTAACAAATACATGTTTAATTTGGGAAATTAAGGAAAATATTAACAGTAATATATAGTGTGAGTTTTTTCAATCTTTGTTGTTAGAAACCGGTTGAGTTACTGTTGAGCCTTGTCACTCCTCCTTTACCACATCCCTAAAAGCCACGCTTGGACTGCGAATGAGTTTCGGCCCTGGAATTTTTCAAACTACACTGGAACGTTTTATGGAACAGCATGCACAGCATGCATCTCAAATGTGAAACACAATACCGCGACAGTGACTGCTACTGCATGACATCCACACTTGTACAAAGCCAGCCAGACACCCAATCACACATACAGCGCCGTTGCTGACTCACATTTTCCAGCCCAAAAACTGTTCATAAACCGCCGTGATATAGGAAATCTCGCCCGATTTCAACCAACGTCTATTGATCTCTTAGGACATAAATCTAAAGAAAAAAATTTTTTACCCATAGAAAGCCATCCTAAACTGCCAGATTGGGAAATAACACAACATGGCAACAATGCATGTAATACGGGAAATGTTAGCCTTTAGATGCAAAACCCCATCACGCACCGCAACATATTTTTGCAAAATATTCGAACATAAATTCGGCAAATATAACAGGAACATCGTAGTTTGGTTTAAAGAAAGCATTTTAGTTTTATTATAATTTAATTTGTTGCAAGGATTTTACAGTTTGAAGAAATAGAAAATTACATAATATGCCAACCGTCACAAGGAACGGCTATATATACTGAGTGCATCATTTAGATAGTTAACATTGTATTACTTCTTGAGCTCCTTGAGTTATTTACTGTCACAGTTAGGTGCTGGAGAGTTAGTGTTGGGGCCGGTATGATTTAAGGAGAGCCGGCCCTCGCACGCTGAAATTAGGACCGGCCCACCGGGCAAATGCCTGGTATCACAGATTAGCAGTCCCAGCCTGCTAAAAGCTGAATGGTAACTGGACTTAATGCATCAGTAGCTTCTATCATGGTTATGGTTCCGTGCTGGAACCTAGAAAGGTCAGGAGAGCTGCAACACTCCAATAGATCCGATTAATTCACACGCACTGAACTGAATGTTCAGGACGAGTATCTCTGATGAGGAAACCTGAGATTCTCAGCAGGGTTTCTTTACCCATGTGTTTGAAACCAGAGTTTTTTAGGAGCTAAAGATGCTTTCTGTGTGTCCACCCCAGGACTGACTGGCTCCATATAAAGAACCTGGATCTAGGTCACAGTAGTGCTGGGCTCCCTCTCTGACATGGACATGGGCAGTGGTTTCAGAACCTGCATGTCCTCACCGCTGTGCCCTCATCCTGGACTGTTCTAAACCACCTGTCTGCAAAGGTAATTAAATGATGTCAGATGATGTTAGTCTGATGATGTCAGTCTGCCGTCAGTCACACTGGTCCATGCTTGGCTGTCCAGTTTGTCCCATGGTGTCCTGAGCGGCATCTAAGTCAGAGCAAACAGTTCTGAACTCAGGTATCAGCACATACTACTTCAGGGATCTGCTGCCACAAATCTGCAGGTCAGAGGATGAACTGATGAGATTGTCTGCAGAAATCCTCCTGAGGACATGCTCTCATCTCCAGCCCTCCATATTTCCTTGCCTGAGGCAACGCGACAGCAAGCTGAATGTTATCTTCTCAGTGGAAGTCCCTCAGCCTCCTTCTGCTCTCAATGACCGGTACATATCTCTCCTTCATCCATATGCCCCCAGACACATCTGTATGTTATCAGGACGGCAGCCATGGATGCACACAGAGCAGGACGTTATCAGGATTGCAGAATGGCTGTAAACGTCCACAGGCGGCAGTCTGTCACAGTAGCAACAACCTGTAACTACAGGGAGGGTAAAACATACTGAAACGATATTGTCTGAGAAAGCGGAGGAAAAGTGACTGCTTAGAAACATATTAATCATCTTAAAGCCATGATCCATGTACTCTTACATGACCCACAATGCATTTGGAGCTTAGTTATAGATTGACCCTCAGCTGTAAATAGAGGAGATCAGATGTATTTTCAAAGAAGCAAGACAGTAAGAACAGTCTGAAAAAATCCTTCACACACCAAAGATAATTATGGGGTTCTACAAGCCTAAAGTCTTCTATTCAAATCATATCAATTCAGTTTAATTACTAACCTAGTTCACAGCTACTATTATCTTCAAACATCTTAATATATATATATTTTTTCCCCCTGAAAAATTCAATAGATTAGAATATGCATTCTGCTGAAGCTTATCTGCCAGATTAAATCTACCTATTACCTTTTTAAAAATAACAATCTTAAAGCATTATAGCATAATTATAAACATGTTTTTTTTTATTAATCCCACACTTCAGTATCCATATTTTCTCTCTGGTTTGATTTTATTTTCCTGTATTTTTATTAAATTACAGGAAATCATCTTACAGTAAATTCTTGAAAACATCAGACAGCATATATGTACATATTGAGACATTACCATTTTTTACAGAGCACTAAACAACTAAATGAAAGTTATAAAAACCAGGGAGGTTTAACTGTTGCTTGAAGCATGCTCTACTGCTCTGCTGGAAACACCACAAGCAAACTAGGACACTGCTTAGTTTGCCAAGATTGACTACTGCAGTCAAGTCCGTTATTTGTTGGTGTCTCCACTTTTTTGCTGTATTGTGTAATTTTATGAACAGATTCATGTAGGGGTTATGCAGTTGTACAAAAAACATCAGCCTGTTACTGATTGACCCTGTAAATCTGCTGTATGCTGATGATACTCAGTTCTACTAGAAACCTGGATGAGTTTAAGTTTTTCTTGCTTCTTTATGTTAAAAAACCCTTAAACACAAACAGTCATATTTCCTTAAAGTATAACACTTTGAGGCAAAAACAACAAATTCCAAGTTTAATCTTTTACATGAAGGTTAAAATCAGTATAACTGGAACCTCATGGACCAGTACCCAGATGTTCCGATAGATCAGGTGACCAGATATGAGTCAAGACAGTCAAGCAGTGCTTAAAATACTGGAAATGAGAACAGGTGGGAAATGCTCCACAGCCACATGGATGAGGCTGAGAAAGAATACAGATCCGCGAGGATCAAACACAGACTGAATTTTCAACTAAAAAAGATTTCTTCATGTAAAACTTCACCAGTAATTGGTGATTTCTGATCAAACCTGGATTTGTTTCGTAATTCAATTGATTCCTTGTCTTTTTTAAATTATTTTAACACTGCTGGATCACAAAAGTGTGTCCTGCTGTTCCTGTTGTTGCTGAGGAAGCCTGATGAAATATGGAGAAAGGCAGAACGTGTATTTATTACATTAAAAATAGAAGTAAACGAATCTGATGAGCAGCTGAGTTCAAAGGAAGCAGCTGCAGGAAGTCCAGTGGTATGAAGCCATCAAGGTGTGCCAGCAAGCCTGTGTTTGCAGGCAGCTAACAGGGTCCTTATTATCCTCACAGAAATCTGACGCAGACGGAGGTTTGAACTTTCTGGCTGTGAGGCGGCAGAGAGACTTGGAGCTGC